CCCCGGCCGCCTGGCCCCGCTACGCCGACGGCGGCACCGGGGGGTTGCCCGAGCCCTGGAAATGGAGCTTCCCCCCCTCCTTGAACGAGCCCCCTTGGTTCGTCCCCTAGGAAAAAAACACGGTCGCCCCCCGGAAAAGAAAAAAAAAAAAAGATGCCAGGACTCAAATGTCTGAACCCCTTTAAAAGGAAAAAAAGAAATAAAAAAATCAGCCAAAATAAACCAAAACCTCCAGAGTTGAAGAAATCGCCTACAAATGGCTTCACATCTCCTGCTTAATGCCCCTTTTACCTTTCCGTCCTACTTACCTTACAGTCCTACGCGAGAGGCGGCAGCGGTACGCTCAGATGACGGGGAGCGTTGCTGCTTTTCTAAGCACTGGGCTCCCCAACAATGCGAATGGCTCTCCATTGAGGATGCTGCACCGTGCCCTTCCTTTAAACGGATCGTAAAATGAGTTTCCTTCCCTCAGACACGGAGTCCTGGTAAAGACAGCTTTTACTGCCTGCCTGTATTGCACATCATAAACTGGAAGGAGCACAATGGAATTGCCCCGGAAATTCTCCTTTCAATTATAGTTTGGTGCCCCGTGTACAAAGACTTTCTCACCAGTTAAAATTGTTCTTGGCGATGTTTCGCACGGACCCTAAACTTTACGTTTTGTAAACGTGGGACACCCTCCCCCCCCCCCCCCCCCCCCCCCAAACACACGCACATACACACACGCACCCTTTGGGACTCTTTATGCGCGGTTATTGCAGCCCCATGAATATAGGTTACTGACAGAAGCAAGTAAATTCTCTAAAGCCAGATCCCTGAGATATTGGTGCTTCAGAGCATGCAAATGTGGCGCCTGTATGTAGATATTTGCCAAGTGTGAAGTACGTGAAAACGCAGTTATTATTCGCAGGCGGAAGGGAGAAGCTGGCGAAAGAGCCCCCTTCGGTTATTTCTTCCAATTCGCCAATATTAGACAATATCCCTGCGGTCGCAATCGCGATGTGGGAACACGCCGGCAGAAGAGACTGCTGGAAAGGAATAAAGGCCCAAGAAGTTAAACGAATGCGAAGCAAACAAGACGACGACTAAGAAGATCAAAGAGGCTGAAGTAGATGACATTAGACCAATAAATTGCTCCTCTGGTGACAACATACCAAGATGCAAGAAGAAAGAAACAGCAAATATAACCAATGTCTAGACTTAAATATGGATAACGTAGGACCGAATAGATTAGCTGGGTGGTTGTATTTCGAGCTCTCCGATTCTGTACAATTTGCACGTTTATGTAATATTTTTTTTGCCTGTGTGTGTTTACTGCCGCCACCTTTTTATACATATATATACACATTTCGCTTCCAGCTTTTATTACTCTTAAGATTTCTCAAAAAGTCTTCCCTGAATAAATCTTAAAAGGACCCCCAGACATGGGTCCCCGCCACCTTATTTATTTCTCCCCGGCTCTGTGTCTTAGGCATAACGCTGCCTCTGAAAGAGCCTCTGAATTCTCACGTTTTGTCGCACACAAAACCAGGCTGTATCCCCGCGTTTGAAAACGCACTTTTCATTCAAATGTATTTTTTTTTCCTATCTAGGAAACGGCAAACCAGCGCAGATTGCAAGATTTCGCTCGCCGCAATATTCTCACACGCTTTAAAAATAATCCTCTAGGCGAGATTCATCGTATTTATTTTTTTCTTGTGAGAACTGGACTACCTCTCTTCGCCTTCTGAGCTTTTCCGGGAAGTAAAAGGTAGTGATAAAACGGTGCTCATAAGTTATAAGCGACCTGGGAGCACTACATGATTATGGCTTGTGTATTAAGCAGTATCTTGATGTGGTTCATAGTAGGGAGGATTTTGTTGTTTTGGAATCTGTTCTCGCCGTAATTTATCCACGATTATAATGGAGCGTACTGTGCCAAGTTATTACTTAGTATGACGATGCATAAACACTTTTTAATTTCAATATAATTTTACTGCCCAAGGAAAAAAAATAATTAATCATAATAAGTTTAGCAATGCCATTGTAGACAAACATTTGATAGGAAGGCTCTTGTTAGAAAGCAGGGAGTGGCTGTAAGTCTTTATCCCTCGAAAGAATTAAATCTTTGAAACAGTGCGGGGAAAAAATAGCTCAGTGCTCACATTCCTTCCCGATGCTGAATTTCGATATAAAGAGATTTGCTTTGATTTAAGGAAATGTAAATAAAACGCAGAGAAAGTAGTTCTGTTACGGGGTACTATGCAGCGATTTGTTTACTTGTCTGGCTTTAACTTGAAAAATACAACATTCATACTACAGCCCACATTTTATGCTTCCTTTCCTCCTGCCTTTATTTTCCTTCCAATTACTTTTTCCCCCTCTCTTTTGGCAACTGCCATCTGAAAATACTCCACAATTCCCCAAAAAGCCTCCTTCTCAAGACGCGAAAGCCAACAAAAGCAAAACGGAAAAAAAATACGAAAACGACTCGAGGAAATCAAAATAGAAGGCGAGGAGAAGTTAGGAATGACTTTGAGAGACACGTCAAGTTTGCAGAGCATCAGCCTGCTCGCATCTGTATCGTATAATTACAACGGGTCCCACAGAGCTGAAATTGCAGGGGACACAAGCAGGGCTTTTTATTTGTATCAAAGACAGCTGTTGAGGAATTTCCCTCGCCGGTAAATAATTTTCAAACGAGAGGTTTGCGGCGTTGCCGTTTGCCGGCACGGCTGTGTCTCCGGCTACGCGGGGCGGAGAAGGGCATCGGGAAATCCGTCGCTTCGCCCCCCGCTCTTCGGGGTGAAGCTCTTCGAGGGCTCTCCTCCAGGGCTGATCCCCTCTTCCATCTTGCCCGAACCCTTCAGTTCCCTCTTTCTCCAAACGTTTCATTTCTCCCCAGCCCTTTGGGAGACCAGGACACCCCGTTTGCAGGCTCAGGGCTTCCCCAAAGAGAAGGGCGAAGATTTGGGGCAAGGGGAAGAGGAGCAAGCAGTTCTGTGCCAGGGCTCCATGCGTCCCTGTTAGCTAACAGGCAATGGTGTTTTGAGAATAATAAATGCAGGGTAAGTCCTTGGGGCAGAGCAAGCTTTACTTTTGCCACGAGTGCACCGAGCCTGGCCAGGCGGTAAATGCCACCCCAACGGCGCCCGGTGGCCGCGCAAGCGGGGGCGTCCCTCACCGTACTCCCGGGATAAGGGGAGGTGGAGGGGAAAACCCGCAGACCTATCGGCCTTTGTTAAAACCAAACCAGCGGTTCCAACCCCAGTTATGCTCCCATAAAGTCGACATTTTAGGAGCTTTCGGGGAGGCGGCCGAGCGCTTGATGGCGGGCGGG